AAGAAGGTCCTGGGTTTGAATCCCGGTCGGAACAGGGCCATTCTGAGTGGAGTTTGCATGTTCTCCCCGTGTCTGCTCCGGTTTCCTCCGGGTGCTCCGGTTTCCTCCGGGTGCTCCGGTTTCCCCTACCTCTAAAAACATGCACAATATCTATGAATGTAAATGAGAGCGTTTGGCGACTCGCTTCCGTCATCACCGTGTGTGGAATGATTGGAACATTATCTGAACTCTGAACATTGTAAAGCGCTTTGGATGACCTTGGTCTGTAAAATGTGCTATATAAATAAACTTTACTTACTTACTTATGAATATGTTTACCCTCATTGAGAAAGTTGCAAACAATGGCAACACTTTCGAAGTGATTGTTTGTTACTTGAAATGTAACGATCACACTGCATGAAAGAAACAGACTGAAAAAGTGTGTACGATTTTGCATTATGTTTGTATCATTTTCATTATTATTGTCCCCCCCAACACCCAGTTTAAGTATAGAAAGGTGTACTTTATTGTCCAACTGGGACTAGGAGGAGGACAGGGAGTGGCCTCTGTGCCCAGACCCAGGACTAAACATGGCGAGGCAGCATTTCATATTCAAGTGAAATCTGGAACAGTCTTTATTTTAATAGGACAGGCTTCTCTGACAATGGTCACATCCTGGATAAAAATAGTTATAGTTAATACATAATCAAACATATTGTGACTATAAACTTTTCTTGTTTTGTTTTCATGGGCGCTATCTCCATATCTACCTGCCCATTGTAATTTCCTATATCCTTCACTGTTATGTGTGCACCTGTAATTTCTAATGACATCAATTATGCCTCTTTTTTGTCCTGTTTTGTCATTTCGTCCCTCTATTTACAGCTTCAGGAGTTTACCATTCACCATTGGAGCCTTGGGAGCCAGTTGAGAGACACCAGTATAAATAAGGTATGAAGCAGCCCTCTCGCTCCGACAATCCCACATTCCTGAGCTCGGAGCTGGGGAGAGAGCGGCAGTGGCTCCCTCAGGAGGATGGAGAATGTTTTCCTAAAGATTCTTGAAAAACAATTCTCCAGGCTGGGTGGTTTGGGCTAACGCGAGTAGGTTTGTAGCTGAGCAGGGTACGGTGTGAAACGGAAAGACATTCTTAAGAAAATGGCCTATTATAAATGATTCTATCCCTTAGGTTTTTATTTTCATTTAAAGGGTTATTTATTGTGTTCAAGAGCGGTGTTTGCTGTTTCAGCTGTGTGCAAGATTGACTATTTATCATGCTCCTATATTCAAGATGACATTTCTACAACAATCCCCATTCCCACTGTGTAATGTGTGTATTCCACAGTTTTACCCAAGGAACATACCTCTTTGAAATCCTTAACCGTAACGAAAAGAGCTGTTATTAAACCTTACCCTTTCCCCTCTCTCTTGACACAATTGACTTTCATATAAAAAAAGACAATTTTCAAGACTCATGGGGAGAGTTTTTCTTTTCTTTCTTAGATAATTAGGATAATGAAGCTGTGGTTCACACTACAGTAGGTGGCCAATAAAACGCACAATGGAGAAGAACACAATCGACTTTCTTATATTTTTTTCCCACTGTACTAATCCAACAATCAGAATCACTCTGCTTGGATTTGGTTCACTATAACTTGATTGATCATCGGCTGTTATTCTTTATAATGACGCTAAAGTGGAGGTTCAGACCGGAAGACTACAAATTATGTGTGCACAAACTCACAGCTCTCAGTCCTCCCCCTGCTGCTGCACTGCAACAGCAATCACCTGGCAGCATTCAAAACTGTCCTGCAACAAGTTTTTTAAATCATACAGAAAGCTTGTATTTGTGCAGCAACCCTCCTCCTCCCCATCACCGCAACGTCGGCCAGAACAGCACTTCAATCCTTCTCTTAGCTACCCCCACCAGAATTCATCTCAGTATCTCTATTCTCATTTCCCCTTCAGCATTCATCATGGAGTGCTCAGCCGGGGTCATAACCACACAGCATGCATTAAATGTCATTCTTGCGTATAATATCTGCAGTTGTATGTGCTAATTTATGTAGCAACAGATTACTTACGATAAATACAAGAGAGAAACCAATCTACTTAGTCTATTTGAATCTCTCCAGAACAGCTAAAAAAAAGGTGAAGTTCTTCTTTTTACGTACGTATCAAAACTTCGCACAACCCCCTTTTTGTTTGACATTACAGTATGAGCCATAAATCTGTCTGGGGCAGTTCCAATCGGTCCATTATGCACTCTACTTTTACTGTGGCCTCCAGGTTTTCATTATAAACCAAAGTATTCAAAGATCCACAGTTGTTTCAATGGCATTATTCATACAAGTTTAAAGTTTAATCTGAAGAATATTAACCAAATAGCTGCACTTGAACTATTTCCTTGAGCAGGCTCTGAACTTCACAGCCCGATGGTGTTTCAGTTCATATGAATCACACTACAACTTTTCACATGATTACACTCTGCATCAAACTGATGTTTCAATTTCACTTATGACACACTCCTCACTCTTATCCCTTTAACATTCACTCCCTGAAGAATGCAACGGATATTTTTTTTTTATTTTGGGATTTTTCTGTGATGTGGAATCACTCAAATATTTTTTTTTTCACAATTTTTTTTTTTTACCCAATTAAAAAAAAAAAAATATAGGCCTTTTATTAAGCAAGGCAAGTCAGGGCACGTTTATTTGTATAGCACAATTCATACATAAGGCAACTTCAAAGTGATGAACAAAACAAGATAGAAACAATCACACAAGGTATTAAAACCAAAAATAATCACAGTACATTATTAAGAAAGATAAAAATATGAAATCCCTCAGTTGTCTGCACAGCTAAACAGAACTGTTTTTAACCTGCATTTAAACATTGTCAGAGAAGAGGCCTGTCTCACATACTCAGGAAGATTGTTCCAGATTTTATCAAATGGTTGGGATGCAGTTTGATGGTAAAAGTGTCTAAAACCAAGTGAGATGCCCGAACAGAGGTACTGTACATTTCCATGCTTGAAGTAGATGTATTGACCATCTGCCAAATGATTGAAGGAAACCAGTACAGGGTTATGGGCAAATACAGTAAAGTGATATCCTGGTTGATCTCCAGCACCTTTTATTACTTTATGTATATCTATTTTAGTATATACTAGCTTTAACAATCCACTATTGCACATTTTCTCATTTCAAAATCAGAATCAATTTATTTCCATTTGCGTAAATGCTCCTGTGCTGTTTTGCTGTGGATTATTCATATTGGTCAAAACAAGCCAATTAACAAAGGAGGCTTAACACGATTATGGTAATATCCACAGAGAACAGAACATCTAAAATTAAATTGTAATTAAGTATCAATAGCACATTGGTTTTAGGCTGACATCCAAACATATTCAGTCATTTCTCATGGAGATTTGCAACAGACACAAATATGTGGCATTAGCTTTTTCCCCCAAGACAAAAGACTTACTGAGATGGCTTTCACTCAAAACTTTAAACTAGGCCAGTTCACTAATTTGATAATTGCAAGAAGGAGATAAATTGTCGATCAAGTCGCTGAAGGCAATAAAACAGTCCAGTAGATTGAGCACCCTTTTAATCTAGGAAGTCATATTGCACATTTGAATTATCTTTTACAGAACAAACACAAATATTATACCAGTGCTTTCCTCAAATACTTTTCTGAACACAGTTTACTCTGAATATGTGTCATAATTCTGTAGTAACTAAAATGTGCACTTGGAGAGCACAGTATACACCTCCAACAACATGGATTATCTTTTCATTTTGATACCGTTCAAGTTCCTCTCGTCACATCACATTGATCCACCAAGATTCAGTTCAATCTGTGCAGTAGATGTTAGAGAAGGGTAAACAAAAAAAAACTGTTCAAATTCTCAACTTCGACTGAGATTATTTTGAATTTTGCCAGAAAAGAAGGACCAGGGTCATCTATAACAACGACAAACCCTGGTTCACTGCTAAACTCCGGCAGCTCAGGAAAGCAAAGGAGTCTGCTTTCAGGGAGGGGGACCGCAGCGGCTACAAAGCAGCTAAATATCAGTTCAGGGACGAACTGAAAGCAGCCAAGTCCCGGCACAGAGAACGACTACAGGAGCAGTTTGGTAACAACGATACTGCTTCTGTCTGGAGGGGCCTACGGGAGATCACCAACTACAAACCCAAAGCCCCCCCCTGTGCTGATGACCACAAGCTAGCTGACGAACTGAACTTATTTTTCAGTCGCTTTGATGCTGCCCCTGACACCTCTCCCTCCCCCACCCCCCACTACTCTAACGACCCACCCATCAGCCCTGCCCCCAGCCTGACAATAGCCTTTAAAGATATTCAACAACTCTTCCTGAGGCTGCACCCCCGCAAAGCTCCTGGCCCGGACCACGTGTCTCCGGCCACTCTGAGACACTGCGCCAGTGAGCTTACTCCTGTGTTCACGGACATTTTCAACACCTCTCTGCAGTCCTGCCATGTCCCGGCCTGCTTCAAATCCTCCATCATTGTCCCCGTCCCGAAGAAGCCCAGGATCACAGGACTCAATGACTACAGACCTGTAGCACTTACGTCTGTCGTCATGAAGTCATTTGAACGCCTGGTTCTCTCCCATCTCAAGTCCCTCACCTCCCCCCTCCTGGACCCCCTGCAGTTCGCCTACAGAGCCAACAGATCTGTAGACGACGCCATTAACCTGGCCCTCCACCACATCCTACAGCACCTGGACTCCCCGGGGACCTACGCCAGGGTCCTGTTCGTGGACTTCAGCTCTGCCTTCAACACAATCCTGCCATCCCTGCTCCAGGACAAGCTCTCCCAGCTCAACGTGCCCGATTCCACCTGCAGGTGGATCACTGACTTCCTGACGGACAGGAAGCAGCGAGTGCGTCTGGGGAAGAATGTCTCGGACTCTCGGATTATAAATACAGGAGCCCCACAGGGCTGTGTTCTTTCTCCCCTGCTCTTCTCCCTGTACACCAACCACTGCACCTCCAGCCACGACTCCGTGAAGCTGATCAAGTTCGCGGACGACACCACCCTCATTGGACTCATCTCCAACAACGATGAGTCCGCCTACAGGAGGGAGGTGGACCGGCTGGTGTCCTGGTGCAGTGGTAACAACCTGGAGCTGAACGCCCAGAAGACAGTGGAGATGATTGTGGACTTCAGGAAGAGCACTGTCCCCCCACCCCCACCCTCTGTGATGGACTCCCCCATCACCTCTGTGGAGTCCTTCCGTTTCCTGGGCACCACCATCACCCAGGACCTCAAGTGGGAGCCGACCATCAGCTCCCTCATCAAGAAGGCCCAGCAGAGGATGTACTTCCTGCGGCAGCTCAGGAAAGCCAAGCTGCCTGCACAGATGTTGGTGCAGTTCTACACGGCCATCATCGAGTCCATCCTCACCTCCTCCGTCACCGTGTGGTTCGCTGGAGCCACAGTCAGGGACAAACAGAGACTACAGCGCATTGTGCGCTCTGCAGAGGAAGTGATCGGCCGCAGCCTTCCATCGCTGCAGGACCTGTACGTCGCCCGAGCTCGAGGCCGGGCTGGTCGTATCACAGCCGACCCCTCTCACCCTGCACATGGACTATTCCAACCACTCCCCTCAGGCAGGAGGCTGCGGTCCATCAGGACTAGAACCTCCCGCCACAAGAACAGTTTCTTCCCCTCTGCTGTTGGACTCTTGAACACTTCGTAACCTGTCCCCCCGCCCTTTATAAAGTCACTTTACTGCCCATCATACGTCACTTTACTTCACTGTACTGCTGTCACCTTACATTGTGTGCACCATGTGCACTTGTATATTGTAAATAGTAACTGTAACTCTATTTTAAATTTAAATATATTCTTTAGAAGTGTTTTTTATTCTTATTTTTATTATCTCTTTTTGACTGTTGCACTGAGCCAAAGCAATTTCCAAGTCTGTGACCTCCTGTTACTTACGTTGGCAATAAAAATGATTCTGATTCTGATTCTGATTCTTTGTCATTAAACATATAGACCTCACTCCCATCTCTTTGTGGAGTGAGAGACAAGTGTGGAGTGAGAGACAAGCGCTTTTTGACTCTGGTCTGTGAAAGGCGCTATATGAATAAACATTAATTTCTTACTTGTATGTGAATTTTAATTCTGAGACATCAGAAGGTTGCGTTGTTCAATTGGAATTTATTAGCAGTTTTAAGCAAGTGTGCAAAGGTCCACACAACTCTGCAAAAGTCTGATTGTCACAGAGATGGATGGCGCTTACAGTATATAGGCCTTAAAAGTAAACGCACTTTGGAAACATACGGCTTATGCACAGAGCATATTCCAATATATATCTATGTATGGTACGAAAGATGCCTCTGTAAGCAGTTTTAAAATACACCTGTCAGCATATTTTAAACTCCATGAAACAGTGTCTGCATTAATTAGCAAGCTATGATATTTAGATATTCACACTTACTGACTTATACATGCAACACACACGCTGATTTGTAACATGTTTGACTTTGGGTAACATGCCAAACGTTTGTGTACGAGGCAAAAGGAGGCTAAACTTTTTTTTTATATGTATTATTCATTTATTTACACTGCCATCTGTTTGTGTGTATGTTTGTAGTCACTGTCCACATGGGTTCACGTGCATATGTCCATAGGTGGATCTGTGCTTTATCATAATATATTTGCGATCTGTTGCAACACGGACATTTCCCCACTGAAGTACTGTATGAATACATGTTTGGTAATCCTCCCTAAATTCTTATCCTCCAAGTCAGACAATTTACTGGCTAAAGCTAATTTATATTCTTCTGCAAATCCCATTATAATTTCAAAGCAAGTAAATGTCAAAATAAATACCACAAAAATAACAAATTGAATCTCCTCAAAGACAAACTCATTTGAATTTTAAGCACTGATGTTTGGTGCGATGGATTTGAACCTCCGCTAGTCCCAGACAAGCAGCAGCTCTTTAAACGAATGGGAAGGACTCATATTAAAATGATACTTTCAAAACAACAAAGAAAATTGAGAGCTTGATGCGCATCGACTTTATCATTTCAAATGTGTTTGTCAAAACAGTTTGCACACGCTGTTCTCGGAAAATAAATTGACATTCTAAAACCATTTGTCAGTTTTGTGAAGTCAAATGAGTGGGCGTCAAACCAGGCGTGTGCAGATAAGGGTGAAAGCTGAAGCAACCAGAATCACGGAAAGGCAAGTTTATTTGTATAGAACAATTCACACACAGGGCAACTCAAAGCACCTCACACAACAATAGAGAAAGTAATGCATTTGGACATATAGAATACAATTTACGTTGAAATAGTGTTGATGGTATTTATGACACTCACTATCATTATTATTGTTGTTATTATCATTAGGATTTTTAAAGAACAAGTCCTTAGACGTTTAAAAAGACAGACTGACAAACACAAAGACCTCAGGCTTAGGCCCAGTTTAGACGGAGGCGCTGCGCAGACGTTGCCAAGCTATTAACAGAAACGACCTTATGCAAATTTCACAGCGTTCATACGATGATCAAAACCGATGTAGTTCTAGCTTCCGGCCAGTAGGGGGCAGAGGAACTTTACAACACGACACACGCGAGCCCCAGCGTCCCCCCAGCAGCATACTCACTTCCTCTGCAAGACGTTAAAGATGCACCAACATCATTCTTCATTTTAACAGCAGCTGCGAAAATGGAAACTGAACCTAGAGCTTCGCGTGGTCTCGCTTGGACGAACAAAGGAGAAGAATCCTCCTCCGTGTAACGCTCGAAGCACAAGTAGCTAGTTAGTTTACCCGCCGCCATTGTTGTTTACGTTTGATCTCGGCTACTGTGCATGTCCAAATTTACGTGCGGGGAGCAGCGGGGAGAAAAATGCATAAATTAAAGCCACAATACATAATGTTTGGACCTGGAAAATCACCTGCATTATAAAATTAAAACCATACCATGCAGTCGTCTGAAAGATATTTTGTTAGTACCTGCCCATTCTTAGTCAAAGGAAAACAAAATTTGCACGATAACAAATAGGTGAGTTATATTTCTGCACCTGCATTTGTGTTATCCTTCAATGGCCCAGGGTCACAGGAGCAGGGATCCATCTCCAGAGGTTGATGCTCGGATAATGTGAAGGACTTATTGTAACATTGCTCAGGTTTGTGGAGATGCAAGCCTACTCACAAACCTTCAATGTGTGAAAAAACAAGCAAATGTATTAGTTTACATTTTGGTGAATAAAGTGTTGTATTAGGACTTTATAGCAGTTTTCAAAATGTTGTGATATATGTGTTGAAGCGTGCGGTCTCCAGCGCGGGTCAGGTTCTGCAGGTGGACAGTGAGGTGAGAGCAGCCGTGTTGCCAGTTGTAGAAACAGGATCAGCAGTGTGATCCGGGCGCCAGTCGAGTTGGCACATTATTAGGCAACAAGAGCCAGAAGTGAGAGCAGTGTGTCAGTCTGACGTTCATTATTCAAACACGCTTTTTCCACTTGACACCTTCTTGCGGACAGGCTTGTTATCTCAAACTTATTCTTTAAACGGTTTTGAATGAAATCTGCTGCTTGAACATAACTTTGTGCAGTAGTTCAATCGCTGAACTATCTGCTTAATATCATCTAAACAAGATTTTCTTCCGAATCTCTTCTTCAGGGGAGTCCTGGTCACAGAGAGATGGGGTGGGAGTGGAAAAAACTCAACATTTCCATCTGGCAAGTAAGTAAAAAGAAGCCTGAGTCCTAGATCTACAGCACGTCTGTCCATGGAAGCAGATCTCTCTCTCAATGTGGACCACTGGGTTTTTCCAATGCGGGAGGGTTTGTTGGACCCTTGTCTGGGTCTAACTAAAGGGACAGTGATGAGGATCCAGGACACTCAACATTCAACAGCATTTATAGACATTTATCAACATTTGTGGATGTTGGTCATTTGTCCCTTATGGACGAATGACTCCATGTGTTTTTTTATAACCATAACATTTATTGTGTTTGATTTTCTGATCTGTGTTGGCAAAGTTCTCCGAGATAACTTCATTACTAATTTGACAGATTTCCAACCACTTTTGCTTGAACAAAATTTTGACCGTAAATCTGATCATGAAGGTTTTGTGTTTTATTTGCACCTTGTGAACATCACACATAGATCTCCTCTTTAAACTCCACCCCCTTGTCTTTCTTTCTAATCCGCTGTTATTCTTAAACTGCTGTTGACATTAGCAGTAATCGGTTAAGTCCTGTCATTTAATCGCAATCCCAGAAAAGCCCATATTTGGCCTGCTTACAGCTTTCGATTTGCCAGGCCTCCGCTGTCTGAACGAAGCGATAAAGAATAAAAAATGATTTGGGAGAAAACAGCCGCAGCTTTTGGGCTGTGACCCTCTGTGGTGCGAGGAGCAACAGAGAAACATGGGTTATTTATGGCACAGTGTTGCCTGCTGTGAAAACATGATGAGATGTCGTGCACCAGGCAGAAATTTGGGGAGAATATTCAGTGTATTTGGAGTTTGGCTTGAGCTGTAATCATGGAATAGAATAGTGGTATGCAAATATTATTGAACATTTGTGGCATGATTTAAAACGGGCTGTCCATGCTCTACACCATCTACACTTCAGACTTCACATACGACACGCACAGTTGTCAGCTGCAGAAGTTCTCAGACGACTCCGTCATCGTAGGCTGTGTGTCTGAGGGGAACGAACTGGAATGTTGGTCGGTTTTTTGTGTGTATTTGACCTTGTAGTGACCCAGTGGCTGCATTAGTGGTCAGTATGGTGCCTCCGGTGTGCTTTAGGATGCTATAAGATTACATTCAATTCAACAAATTTTTTTTTTATAGCTCTAGATCACTGAAAACTGTCAATTTGCAGAATCAAACAGCTACAGATTATAGCTAATATTTGGACATAAAGTAACTCTCTAACTTAGACTATATTTTTTTTCACATGAAAAAAAACACAGGTTCTACCCAACAAAGCTCCCTCATCAGAAACCTTTTTTTTTCTCTACCCAAGCTGATGTAAAGAACTTCTAGCACAAATGTATCTCTGGGTCACAACACGGTCAAATACACAAAAACGTCAACTTATTTTCCAAAAAAAAAGTTGCATAATTCATGTTTAATCTGTACATAATACACAAAACATCATTACATGTACAATAGGATGGGTTTGTCCACACTGATCGCCTGGCATCAGCTGCTCTTCACGAGGGCATCCGGTCACAAAACACATTTTCAATAAGGAAGACAGCAAAAGTGTCCATCTTGTTGCATTGCAAAAAAATAACATTATATTATTCAGCGTAACAAGCGTAACAAGTCTTTCAACAGGATTACTCAGAATGAAATAAACCAATTAGTATCACCACTAGAAGATTGTACACCTCTAGATTCTGTAGAAGGACTGGAATGAAACATAGATGTGTAACTATTTTGCTTTGCTTCTCCTTCAGTGGAGTGGACAGAGCCGGTGTCCTGGTTTCAGCTTCTCTGTACACACGTCCTCTGCGCTGCCCTTCACCACACTGCTCCGAGCTGATGGTCATTATGGATGAGTCACGGGTGAGTGAACCAAATCTCCATCTCTTTCTCTCCCCTCCTTTTTGTCGCTTTCTTTTTTTCTGCATCTCTTCCCCTCTGCTGCTGTCTGTCACATCCAACCCCCCTGCCCCTAGTTCTCATCACAGCTATCCCACTATTCCAACATTTGTCCCTTCTTTCTTGTCTCCCATTTCCATCCGTACCAAATATACACACACATATATTACTACATGGCCATACATTCTAATGGCCACAGAGACCAGGCTAATGCGATCTCCTCCGTCTCATCAATCATAGGAGAATGACCGGAAAGGTGCAGTGTATTTCAGATAAATGGGGCAGCTGCTTGTTGTCCCTCGCTGTCGGAATGTCAGGAAAATCAAATTTATGACACTTTTTGGGATTTATGCTTGACAATTGTAACAGTAATAATGATGAAAAAGACACCAAATCTCCAACAAGAACATGTACAAAAGCCCTAAGATAAGATAAGATAAGATAATTATTAGCACAATAAAAAGAGAAAATAAGAGCATCATAATACATAGTAAGTAAGTAAGTAAGTAAGTAAGTTTTTATTTATATACCGCCTTTTCACTGCAGATCTGAGTCTCAAAGCGGTTTACAATTGTTAATTTTGGGCATTTGTCTCTCACTCCACACAGAGATGGGAGCGGGGTCGCCAGTACAGGAGGCGCATGCCAGAACTATTGGACATATTTTTAGTGGTAGGGGAAACCGGAGTACCCGGAGGAAACCTACGCAGACACGGGGAGAACATGCAAACTCCACTCAGAAAGGCCCTGGTCCGACCGGGATTCGAACCCAGGACCTTCTTGCTGAGAGGCGAGAGTGCTATCCACTCAGCCACCGTGCCATCAAACAAGATGTATTATTTAAGATCATGCATAATAAGATAAAATATGAAGATGAATTAACACTCTGGAGCTATAAAGGCACTTGGTTTAGGATACGTCACTTGTGGATATAGTCAGCAGCATCATGAGGTATTTACAGATGTGTATATTGTATTTTAGCAGCAGAGTTTATGAACACGGGCGACAGTGGCTCAGTTGGTAGAGTTTTTACCTTTGGGCCTGAAGGACAAGGTCATGGGTTTCGAGCCCACCATAAGACCTACTTCACGACTCCCCCTGATGTCTGCTTCTGTTGTGTCCTTGGGCAAGACACTTAACCCCACTCTGCCTAAAGCCCCCGCATAAAGACTAAGGCTTGACTCACCACCTGCAGGAGGATCAGCGAGGGGCTGGTGCTTAGTGTACTGGGTGCAGCCCTGACTGCCACCCCCCCAACCCAGAAATGGATTAATGGAGGTGGGAAGAATTACAGCTGAAACAATGGGAGGCCTGGATGTATGCAATACATCAATCAATCAAATTTTATTTATAAAGCGCTTTTCATACAAAAGATGCAACACAAAGTGCTTTACAGTTTGGTTAAAAACAATCCCGCCGACCCAAGACCCCTCCCCTCGACCACCCAACAGACCCACCCCAAACCACAGACAAACACACACACACACACACACATACACGTTTTTGTTACCTGGTGGGTCCCTTTGACAGGGCCGTTCAGAATGGGACCCATAGACATAATCTTTTTTACTGGGACTACTTTAAGTAATACAAAACAGTCAATAGAAAACAAACAACTCTTTTAAAGGAATTTTATTTTTGATTTTTTTTTCGAATTGCAGTGATTCTATTTTTGACATAGAATTTAATGCCACTCCATGTCCGATGTCTAAGGTCATCTGGTGAGGCATTAATGCAGGCCAGGCAGTGAGACTTCCCAGGGACTTTTCCAGTCTGTATGAAAGGCATCATGGTCTTCTCCACAGCCTTCACCTCAGATGCAGACCATGGCTTTCTTACACGTTCTAGGGAGAGAAATAAAAATATATTAGCAATATACACTCCCAGGGTTAGGACCAAGCAGCCTGGCTGTAATCCTCCACCTGGTACATTTACCAGAAGGGGCACTGCCACTACCATGGGGTGCATCTGGATGAATGGTTGAAGGTTCTCCGCTTGAAGTTTCTTTTAGCCCGTCCGTTTGTGAGAGGATCTCTACTGCTCTCCCTGTCGCACAGAAAATAAAAATACAAGTGGCCTTTAGGGGAAAAAAATTATACATATTTTAATAATATCAAGAATTACCTTCAGGCTCAATTTGTATCTGGTCGAGGCTCTTTCCTTTGAATTCCGTCACTCTTCCCTGCTCCATGGCCATTAACACTTTGCTGATTTTGGCCAGCTCCAGTGCCCCCTCTGGTAGTCTGTAATATTGTCTGTGGATGCGAATGTCATGGCCGAGGAAGTTGGCTAGTATGTCCATTTCATTCTCTTTCATAATGAGAACTGTAGACATAGTAGCTATGTGCTTTCTAAGTTTGGTTGAGGATAGCATCTCTGGATGCACCGCACCACATTCTTTGGCTACCTGGCGTAGGGAGTCTGATCCCCTGATGTGGGTGTCTGCGCCCGGGCGGGAAAAGAAGTATGGGTTATGGTCAGAGATGGAACAGGCCCTTCTGTTCTCCACCAGCACCTCCATCGAAGCAATCATTTCAGGAGTCAAAAGAACCGGCACTTTCCAACTTCTTTTCCCTTTAATTTCAATGCGTTGAAAATGCTGACACAGCTTTTTCTCAAGTTCGGACAGTCCCAGAGCAATGTCAGAATGGATCCCAGTCTTACTTCTTAAGGTAAACGCTGTCAGTGGCATCTTTGAAACCTCACCTTCCCTTCTTCGATTGAAAATAATGACCTCACAAAGAGTCAAAACTGCCAGTTTAGACCAATGCTTAGACGTTGGCTCACTTATTAGGGTTTGCACATATTCAGGTCGACATACCTCAATATGTGCATGCATGGCTCTAACGTCCTCAGTCAGAGGGAGCAGGTCCGGAGTGTTCCACTTGGCTTGCCGGAGGGTCTGTAGGGCAGCAGAAGAAACACAGACGTCCCACCTCTTCTCAAAAAGCAGCCGGCTTCGTTGGAGGTTTTTAATAAATAGTTCATCAACACAATGCTCCATTTTTGAGTCACATTCAAGAATATCTGCTAGCTTTCTGAGGCTATGGCCGAGTTTGAGGGCCAAGGATGGAGTCTTGTATTGATTTGTTTCCTCATCATATCCAGCCACAGACCTGACTGCATCAATCACATGGTTAAAGTTGGAAGGAATAAAGAAATCCTTAATTGTTTTCAGTTTCCCTGCCGTTTTTGCTTCGTTAATTAACCTACCGACTTCTCTCATTTTCTGCCTAATGTAATCATGCTTAGTCTTATCATGCCCGTGTTTTAAGTACAGGTGCTCTCCGAGTCTCAGAATCCCCTTTTCTGCTTTGAAAACACCCGTGACCTCATCCTGATGCATTGCCGAAATTAAAGACCACTGCTTTTTGCTGATGCCCTCCGGTACAGGCTGGGATAGGGAGCAGAGGGACTGGACCCTACTTCTACCTGGTTTAGCCTGGGCATCTTTCTGTGAAAGCCGGCACCTGGCCACATGCCTCCACAGCCACTTTCGCTTAAGCAATGCCCCACAGTCTATACAGTGCAAAAACTCACTGGATTTAACTGGGGAATTTGGCTGTTTAGCTGGGACTAAAGTTCCAATGCCGGCCTTTAAAACCTCAACATTGTGCTCACGGTTTCCACTATTCCTGATCAAATCAAACTGAAGTTTACGTGCTTTAGATTTCACAGGTAGAGCCGATGCTCTGGCTACGTCACTTTCATTTCCATGTTTTCTAGTCAAATGACGGGACATTTTGTGGCAGGACATTGAACAGTAGAGGCAGAAGTGCCTCTTGCTGTAAACTCTCCCCCCATTTTTCTTCTTTTGCAGCTGCATGATAACAATCTTATTTGCCTTTGGTTCGTCACTTTCCGAGTCTTGAAGAAAAGTGTTTTTGATTTTTCTTTTTCCATACTTTTTTACAGGTTTCTTCTTGACAGTTCAATCGTCAGAATCTGAGTCGACTTCATCAATTAGGGACTCTTGACTTAGCTGCACAAACAACAAATAATTTGTAATAATTCTATATAAAAATTTGAAGTCATGACTTGTAGTCAGCACTTACCAGTGGTTTGTAAGCGTGCGCTTCAATGTGCTCCTCCATGATTTCTTGCAGCCTAATGAACCACACACTTGCACCTTTTCTAGCCTGACACCTGATTTCCTCTGTTGTGCTGCTCCATGATTGGCTCCAGCCTGCTGGACTGAAATTGCCCCAGTGTGCCCCTCCTTGATATCCCGCAATCCACCACCAGGGTTCCGACACATAACACACTTTTTTTCAGGAAAACAAACCTCCAGGGGTCCTTTCCATATTTTTACAGAGACTACATAAGGACCGTTAGAAAAGCATTACCCATTGATTATTAAGCTTGGACCAGTGGGGTCCGGTGTTCGGGCCCCACCACGTAAAACCAGTCCCCATGACACACACACACACACACACACACACACACACACACACACACACACACACACACACACACACACACACACACCAGTAAAACAGTAAAACCATGATGAGAGACTTGGCAGGGTTCAGATGCAACCAGCTGAAAAAGCGTCATCCAAGGAGCCGTCTGCACCAGGAGCAGAGAGCCGCCCGTAGCCACAGGGGACGACACAGGACCCAGAGGAGACATGAAACCGAGGCCCCAGGCCCCCACCAGGCCCAAGAGTCCGACCCCCGCAGCCACACCAACCACTGCTCCCAGTGCAGAGGGCTCCTCCAGAGGAAACACTGGGTACACTAAAAACAATACAATAAGTAAAACACTAAAATGTGAGACTAAAAGGAACACACAATACATGAATAATAGCAATAGCAATAAGTTTGTGTAAGCCCTCAGTCGTACAGGGATTAGTCAAAGCAAAGGAAGGTTTCTCACCCATCATCTGTACTTCTTAGCAAGTTTTCCCGACGTTTCGTCCTCAACCTGGGGACTTCTTCAGGGAATGATTTCCCTGA